TACTACTACTGCTACTACTATTACTACTACTGACTACTTTTACTACTACTACTACTACTACTACTACTACTATTACTACTACTACTATTACTACTACTACTACTACTACTACTGCTACTGCTACTGCTACTGCTACTGCTACTACTACTACTACTACTACTACTACTGCTACTACTACTACTACTACTACTGCTACTACTACTACTACTACTACTACTACTACTACTACTACTACGACTACTACTACGACTACGACGACGACGACGACTACGAGTACGAGTACGAGCACTACGACTACTACGACTACTACTACTTCTACTACTTCTCGTCGTCCCTAGCGCCCTAGGGCTAGCACTCCCTAGCGCCAGTACTTCCTAGGGCTAACATTTCCTAGCGCCAGAACTTCCTGGCACTCCCTCGGACTAGCACTCCCTAGGACTAGTATTCCCTAGGGCTGGTACTCCGTAGTGCGAGTACTCCCTAGGACGAGTACTCCCTTGGACGAGTACGCCCTAGGGATAGTATTTCCTAGGACTGGTACTTCCTGGGGCTAGCACTCCCTGCGGCTAGTACTCCGTAGGACTAGTACTCCCTATGAGTGATATTACCTAACACCAATACTACAGCACCATAGTACTACCACACTACAGCACCACTACCACAATACCAGTACCACAACACGACAACACCGCTACCACAACACCACAACACCGCTACCACAATACCACAACCACAACACCACAACACCGCTACCACAACACCACTACCACAGCACCACTGCCACTACCACAACACTACTACCTACTAATACCTCAACAACACTACCAAGACCACACCACTAACACAGCACTACCAACACCACACCACTAACACAGCACACCACTACCAACACCACACCACTAACACAGCATACAGCACAACCAGCCACTACCAACACCACACCACTAATACAACATTACCAACACCACACCACTAACACAGCACAGCGACCACCACACCACTAACACAGCACTACTACCACGTTGGTTCCAGGTGGGAGTTACTGTGGCCACTTTTGCCTGCGCGGGAGCGCATTCCCTTAAGGGTTGCGAATCTCTCCAGATCTAACATGAGGTACCTTTACATATTACTTCTCATTGAGCGGCCTGCGCGGGCCACAGTAACTCCCATCCCGCCGCGCGACGGGCCTCACTAACACCCAACGGGCCACGCTAACACCCAACGGGCCACAGTAACAACCGGCGTGATCGGTTGGAAGAACCCACGGGGAGGGGCTCTGGGGTCGGACAGGGGAGCCGCGGGACGGGTAGAGGGGGCCCGGGCCCGGGGGGGAGCGCGGTCGGTCAGAACTCGCAAAGGGTGGGCGCGGGGCGGGGAGAGGGGAGGGGGCACGGTCGGCTGGAACAGAGGAGGCGGGGGCGAGGGAGGGGGGGAAAGGGGGGGGGAGGGGGCGAGGGACAGGGGGCGGAGGAGGACACGGTCGGTCGGAAGAAGCCTGGGGGGGGGCGCGGGACGAGGAGAAGGGGGAGGGCACGGTCGGTCGGAATGCGCCAGGAGAGGGGCACGGGCGACGGGGGGGGGACGGACAAGGGGGACCGCGGGACGGTTAGAGGAGGGGGCCCTGGGGGGGCGCACAGGAGTACGCGGTCCAGCGGCCTCGGCCCGTCGGACGAGGCAAGGGGAGGACCACAGGGGACGGGTCCCTGCACATCCCAGCACAGGCGCGCACTGGAGTACACATCGCAGCACGCATCCCAGCAGACGGAGGCAGCACACATCGCAGATGACATCGGAGGACACGGAGGCAGCGCGCATCGTAGTACAGCTCAGCACACATCCCAGCAAGACATGAGCAGAGCAGCGCACATCGCAGCGCGCATCCATGCAGATGGAGAGAGCGTCCAACCCGTGCCGCATCCAGGAGCACGGAGGCAGCACACATCCTTCGACACATCAACACACACAGCCCAACACGGATGAAGAAAGCAGCGAATAGACAGCACACAGCCCAGCACGCATTCTAGCAGACGGAGACAAGACACATCCCAGGACATCCTTCGACGCATCAACACACATCCTAGCACAGATGAACAGAGCAGCGCACTGACCGCACACATGCTAGCGCGCATTCCAGCAGACGGAGACAGGACACATCCCAGGACACTTCAGCAGACGGAGACAGGACATCCCAGGGCCCAGGACACTTCAGCAAACGGAGAGCTGGGACGCATCTCAGGACATCCTTCGACACATCAACACACATCCCAGCACACATGAACAGAGCAGCGGACAGACAGGACACATCCCAGGACACACCCCAGCGCACACATGCCAGGACACATATCAGCGCAAATCCCAGGGCACATCCAGGACATCCCAGGCACGATCGGTCGAACTAATGCAGTGCGAGATCACACCGGTAGGTATGATAATAATCACCAACGCTGTTCCTGCACCCCGCGATCGGGATGACAATCGACATCGGAACAAGACGAGAGCCGATGTTCCCATTCAAAGCCCGCCACCCTCCGACACGAGGGTTCCATCATCGCATCAGATCTCTCCTCCTCTCACTCGAACGGCCCCCAAGCGAGATTCCGCAGGCAACAACCCACGAAACACCAGAAGCCCCACAGGGCGGCAAACGCCCAAAAACCACTTAAGAAACCAACGAACCTCCGACATCTTCTCCACAATGTCCAAACGACCGCCACGCGTCTGCTCCGCGGGACCTGCTTCACCCCCAGACATGCCGAAAGTAATGTCTCGCAGACACACAGACACATCGACCCTGCAGCTCCGCACTGCCAACGGTCACTCGGCCAGCCGACACAGCGGTGCGCAAAAATGGGCCGGCGGAGTGAGCGAAACGATCTGCCGCTCCACCGTGTACGGCGTTTGAGATCCACAGCATGGTCTTCAAATGTGCTTTGTGTAAGCCTTCTCTCCAGCGCGCTTTTCATACCTGCCTGTGCCTCTGAGCCCTCGCAAACCCTCCTAGGGTCCTCCCCGCGCCTCGCCCATTCCGCCAGCCAGGGGTCCCCGGCTGCGGCCGGGGCGTCTTCTGGCCGCCATTTCCGTCCCAAGACGACCCCCCTTTCACGCGCTAGCCATCCAGGCGCCGCCAAGCGCTCTCAGAGACCCCTCCAGGAGCCCACTGGGCCGGCTTGTCGGGCCTCCTGAGGCTTTCCTGGGTTCATTTTCGCCGTCCTCCAGGCCACTTTGAGCCGTTTCAAATGCCTTTCCACCCCTTTTCGAGCCACATGCACTAGAACACCCAAACAAACAGAACACATAGTAAAACACCCCAACAATCAAACATACTTCTGGCCTTCTCGCATTTCTCCTTGCGCCTCTCTCGGAGTCCCCGTGCATCTCCGCTGGCTCTTGCGGCCATCTTAGAGCCCAGGCATGCTCTCTACGACCGTCCTGACAGCCTCTCGGACCCATCTTGGGCCGTCTCGCCGCCTTCTTGGCAGCGTATTTCGCCCATCTGGGGCGCCCCCTTCAGAGTGTGAAGGACACTCCTCGGCGCGCTTTCTGGGACGAGCCCGACGGTTTTTTTCAGTTCCTCCAGCCTCTCTGCGGCCGTCCTGGCCTCAGGGTCATGCGACACAGAGCTCGCTGCCTTCAGTTCCTCCAGCCTCTCTGCGGCCGTCCTGGACTCAGAGTCATACGACCGAGAGCTCGCTGAGGAGCCGAATGTCCTCTCCATAGAGTCCCGCGAGGCCTCCAAGCGGAAGCTCCAGCACCAGCACCACAACATATCCTATTCGCGCGCGCGGATCGGCCGCCGCTCCCACAGAGTCTCCAGGATCCCAAAATTGTTGGGCGGCGGTGTCTGCCCCCTCAGGGGCGTTCAATTAAATATAACTCCCCGATGTCCTGCCTGAGACTTCCTCACCACTCTCGCCACTCGTGATCCTAAGGCATGGAATGTGTAACATCTTCACGGGTGGATGGCTGGACGCTTCAAAAAAATATGGTCAGTGCTGTGGCACCGCGAGCATTCGTCTTAACAGTTAGCAGCACTTTCAAACATGGGAAGCGACCGTTTTCAAAAGGCGGCTCTCGCTTCCGCGCCGCGCATGCCCGCTTAGTATGATAAAGTCTGCAACCCTTTCAATGATGGAGGGCGGGTGGCTTTCGAGACGCGGCTCTCGCTTCAGTGCCGTACGCACTCGCCTAAAATATGTAGTAGCTTCAAGGATGCATGATGATTCTTTTTCGAAATGTGGTTCTCGCCTGAGTGCCGCCCACATTCGTTCCAAAGGTTCGTATGTTTGACGTCCCAGGAGCGGTGCCCTGGGACGATCTAGGGTTGTCAAGACGTCACAGTATCGTTGACTCGCGGTGCTGAAGTACCAGGAGTTCTGTTCAGGCACGAAGTGCGGTTGTCAGGACGCGAGGTGCTGAATTCACAGTACCGGTGTTTCGGCACGACCGAAAGTTCTCAGCCTTTTGCCTTCCAGAGGCGCTCTTCCCGCAGCGGGAACACATTCTTGCAAGTGCATCGGAAGCGGGACCTTCGCGGGAAGGCCTGTTGTAACATGGCTGATGCGCCTTTGCTTCGAACAGCTCCTCCCCCTCCTCCTCCTCCTCCACCTCCTCCTCCTTCTCCTCCTCCTCCTCCTCCATCCTCCTCTCCTCCTCCTCCTCCTCCTCCTCCCCCCTCTCTCCCCCCTCCTCCCCTCCTCCCCCTCCTCCCCCTCCTCCTCCTCCTCCTCCTCCTCCTCCTCCTCCTGTTCCCTGTTACCTGTTATCTCGTGCGCTGCGGCATTCGAGCGGGCGCCCGGCGCGCACAACGAAATTGAGCTGCATGAGCCGGGAGCCCGAACGTGGAGAGGCACCTGGATGGAAGGAGGGGTGTCAGGTGAGCACGCTTGTCATCCTCCTCCTCCTCCTCCTCGTCCTCTTCATCCTCCTCCTCCCTGCCTCCCTCCCCCCCCACCTCCATCCTCCTCCCCCCTCCCCGGAGGTGGGCCCCCCCAACGCCCCGCCCAATTGGCGGCGCCGCGAAGCCGTCGCCTGGCCCCAGGCCACCCGGCAGCGCCGCGCCCTGGAGGGCGGGCGGGCGGCGCTTCGGGGGCTCAGAGGAGGAGGAGGCGGAGGAGGAGGAGCAGAGGAGGAGGAGGAGGAGGAGGAGGAGGAGGAGGAGGATGATGAGGAGGAGGAGGAGGAGGAGGAGGTGGAGGAAGAGGAGGACCATCACAGGCCATGAGGGAAGGCTAAGGTTAGGCCGACCCGATCCTTAACCGAAGCCTTGGGTGACATCCGATCATCCACTAACGCGCGGCCTTCAGGCTACTTTTGGGGTGTCGGCCGCTCGACACGAGGGCCCGAGCATTCTGGGAAGACTTGCTTTGGAAGCTCTCCTTATAGTCACCTCGGAGACCCTTCAAGTGACTCTCTGAGTAGTGGCCGCACTTCTTGCACACCACAGGGAAGGACTCAGCACGAAGGTAGTCGCACACAGGCCAGGCGTGCTTCTTGGGCGCTCTAAGTCGGGTAGAGACGGCAACACAATTGCCTGGCATGCCTCGAGCATGCGGGACTTGCGGGTGCTGCCAGACCTGGCTCTTGCGTGGCAGGCCAAGCACAGCCAATGCATATTTGAAGGGGCCCCAGGACACACACACACATAAATACACACAAATAAACAGATTCCTTATATTTTCATATATTTTCTGGGTTTCTGTCTTCCCCCACACTTCCCATATTTTCCTATATTTTCTGGGGAATCGAGGATTAATTGTGTCTGTGTGTTTCTTTTCCTCCTGAATATTTGGCCAAGCCCATTGGTGCTTGCCCCCTCCCGTTGGGCCACGGCACGCGCGAGCACGCCGAGGCAGACCCTTAAGGGCTGGGGAGGGGGCGCAAGTCCAGACTCGGGCCGCTCCTGCAGCGCCGACGGGGGGCGGGGAGGCTCCCAGAGGGCTTCTCACAGGCCTCCTTCCCCCCCACGCGGGGCGAGGGGAGACCAAACCGCGAGCTCCCCTGCTGCGACTCTGGCCAGTCTCTGGACTCGGCCACCGGCTCCTTTACACCACTCAAGCTCCTGCTGAGACGGGCCTGGGATGCGAGCCGCTGCTTGCTTGGCTACATTGTGAACCCAGTCGTCCCCTCTCGCAACAAACCAGCCCCTCGAGCCAGCCTCGAGGACCTCTAGGTCCTGGTGGGCTTTGACTGTTTGGATCTCGATGGGGCCTACAACTATCCTGGGCCCCGGCCGAAAACAGAAAGTCCCCCATGCATGTCCTTCATACTTCGCTCTGGGCTCCGGTGGCTTCACTGAAGGAGTTCCAGCCCGTCAGTGCGCCTGCTGCGGCTCGACAACAACGAGACCGCCAGCAACTGTCGCCGTCCGCGGCGCAGCGGTCTTCCGCTGAAGCTAACACCTCCACCTCCACCTCTTCCAATGTCCTCCAGCTTCCTTTTCCCTCCACCGAGCGGTCTTCCGCTTTGGTGGCCCTGGGGCCCGAGGCTGCCGCGAGACACCCTGGGGTGCTCGGCGGCCGCGGGCGGCAGGCTGGCCCCCCACGGAGCCCGAGAGGCGGTTCTCGGATCGTGTGTTGGCCGTGTCTGGCCCCTCGGAGACCTCCGAGCTCTCCTCGTTCCTCCTTCCTTTATCCTCCTCCTCCTCCTCCTCCTCCTCCTTCTCCTCCTCCTCCTCCTCCTCCTCCTCCTCCTCCTCCTCCCTCCCCCTTCCGCGCTACTGCTGATCATGCTACTCCTCGTCCTCCTCCATTTCCTTCTTCTCCTCCTCCTCCTCGTCCTCCTCCTCCTCCTCCCTCAACCACCCTCCTCCTACTCCTCCCATCTCCTTCTTTTCCTGCTCCCTCCTCCTCTTCCTGCACCCCTCCTCTTCCTCTTCCTCCCGTCCTCCCTCCCTCCACACCTCCTTCCTCCATCCTCATCCCTCGTCCCTCCTGCGGTTCCTGATTCCTCCTCCTCCTCCTCCTCCTCCTCCTCCATCTTCCCCTCCCCCGCCTCCTCCTCCTCCTCCTCCTCCTCCTCCTCCTTCTGACCCTGGCTGTCCTCACCAGTGCACTGGCAAACAGGCCGTGACTGGAAAGGGTTGTGGATCTGCAGGGCCAGTATGAGCAGACAGGTCACCAGGATGTAGAAGTCATACTGTGCCTGCGGTGCTCCCCAGCGCGCAACAACGAAGGGAAGCAGCGAACGCAGGGCGCGCGGAGCAGAGGAACGGGGGCACAGGCAACAGGGAGAGGAGTGGGCCTGGCGAGGCCTCGGGCTGCGCACCCAGACATGCTCCCGTCGCGAACAACATCGAGGCGGGAAGCTGCTCGGAGTCTTCGGTCCCTGGGGGTCCTCGCAGGGCCCCGGGACCGCCAGAAAATGGCTCGGGATGAAAAGCGGGCCCCCGGGGACAGGATCTAGGGGGCCGCATGCGAACCCTACCCCTACCCCCCACGATTTCTGAGGGGGAGGGTGGGGTTCACTTCGCTCGAGAGCCCCCGAACGAAGTGAACCCCACCCTCCCCTTCAGATGTGGTCAAGACGGCACTGGAGGAGGGAGGAGGAGGAGGAGGAGGAGGAGGGAGGAGGAGGAGAGGAGGAGGAGGAGGAGGAGGAGGAGGAGGGGGTTCGCATGTGGTCTCCTGGGATCGGAACTTCCGGGGACCCCGTACTTAACAAATCAGGGCACATCGCATGTCGGGGCACAGAGCGCCTCGCGAGGTAGTCCCGGCGGGCCTCGGCAGGCCCCCCCAGAGAGGAAGAGGAGCTCGGGGCGGTCTCAGCACCTCGGCGCCGCCTCTCTGCGCACCAAAAGCTGGGGCGTCGAGGTCGCCCCGGCCTGCTGGGACGGCCTGTTGGGGCCCAGGCTGGGCTACAGTCCGGGCGTGGACCTAAGGAACCCTAAATAAGGAACGGGGCCCCTTTCTCCCATAAGTTGAACTTCGATTGTCCATGGAGAACCTCAGGAAAACCCGAGGATCACTGTAAAACAACTCAGGAACACGGAGCCCCTCCCGAGCGAAAAGGGTTCCTTCTTCAGGGCCCCGACTGTACTTCGGTAGCTTTCCGTGCTCGGCCTCAAACCTTGCCGCATGCGTCCCTGCTTGTCCAGTCCTGCACGGGGGGAGCCACATTGGTGCAGACGCAATTGCTGCCGTGGGCCTCGAAGGCAAGTGCACAGCATTGCGCCACGTGTCAGCAGCATCCTCGGAGCAGGGTCTCGAGGTCTGGAAATAGCCTATCCCTCGGAGGCGCGTCTTGTCAGAGTGGGATCAGAATCTCGGAATCCCAACTCTTGATGCAATGCCTTTATGATGATCCTACCAAGGGTATCCAGACGACATGCCTTGGTCCTCTCCCGCCGAGTGTAAATCTCGGAGATGGCGTACTTCTTGGCCTGGTGCTTTCGGGCTGTAGCGGCATGACGACCACACGTGATGAGAACGGGGACGTACGCTACTATATGATTCACGCACTGGCGCGGAGTGCACAGCAATAGCTCATTTTTTTATAAAAAAATAAAAGGCCCCTTCCCCCCCATTGTTCAAGGTTTAGCGTCTGCCACACACGTCGACAAGCACGGTGCCGCCTTGATTGTATTCGGAGCCTTGCTTCAAATTGCTGCTGCGGAGTGCCAGGAAGACCATATCTAACTGAAGAGTGCATACTGAGAAAGGCATCACATAGCATAGAACTTAAAAGACGCTGGTCAGGACCCATCCCACGAAAAAGGAGGTAGAGGTGGAGCCAGGGCGAACCCTCTGGAGACCCAGAAGAACAGGGAGCCCAAGAGCCCATCCAATGAGAGAACAACTGCTGGAGCCTGGGGCACACGAGGTAGTGATGCATGTCATCTAAGTCGGTCGGGGACGTCGGAGAACTAGGGCACCCAAGAAGGCAGCCTCGAGGGGGAGCGTGAAATCGAGCACTAGTGCAAACACACCTGGAGAGCATACGTAGGTTGGCCAACGGGATGTAAGGACTGGACTGACGGGCCAGGGCTTTGATGACTTTGCAAACCCAGACGATGTCCGACAGGGAGACCTCAGGGATCCAAGCACAGGCGCGCCGAAGGAGAGCTTCATGAGGGGTGACGGTGGGACAGTGAAAGCGCCTCAGCGCACGCATATACTGCTTCTGTACATCCTTACGCTCATACAGGATCTGGAAACCGTGGGATGCAACTTCGTCCTGGAAGGTGAACAAGTGAGTGAGGAAACTATTCACGTACCAGCCGCGCCGCTGCCGATATGGGCACCAGTCATCATCTTCAAAAATCCGAGCGACTTGGCCTCGGATCCGAGGCAGCTCATCACAACGTGCAATGTATCTCGCCCGAGTAGCATCCGCCACAAGCGAGAGCCGAGGGAACTCAATAGGGAACCCATAAACACAAAGGTGGGTACACATGTCGTAAGATAATGCATTGTTAGGGCCAGCAGAGAGGGGGCGGACACAGGATTGATAAGCTTTGTCGAGATCGCGAGTGGGACGGTGCAGCTGCAAAAGGAAGGACAATCTAGAGACACAAAAAGCTTTGAATAGGACAATGGATTGAGCCAATCCAAGCCCCAGATCACGAATCTCACGCGTCCGCTTTTTGAGTTTAATAATGGATGCCGTGAACGCCACGTCCTCCGCCCCAAGACCAATCCAGACCCCAAGGTACTTCAGACACTTAGTAATTTCAATCCGCTGATAGAGGGGTCCCAGGTCAACCAGGAAATCACGAAGAGGGTCCCTGAGACGCTCGTATGCCAGCAGAATCTGGCACTTCGGGAAGTTGAGAGCCAGACCTATCGCGCCGTGTAGCAACTGCAAACACTTGAACAACGGCTCGATGCCATCGAAGATACAGCGGAGGCCGAAACAAAAGTCGTCGGCATACGCGAGAGACAGAGTCAGCTGAGATGGAAGCTTAGCCCTCACCCATGCTAGTACAGGTTCAACGGCCAGGATAAATAGAAGCATCGAGCTCGGGTCGCCCTGCCTAACCCCTCTCCCAATCGAGAATGATCCAAACATCCTCCCAAAGATATAAATAATCGCAGAATTATCTTGATAAAGAGCCTGGAAGAACAAAATGACAGCGGACGGGACACCCATGGAGGCCAGTACGCGGAGGACCCAGGAGACCTTGATCGAGGGGAAGGCGGATTCGAAGTCCGTCAGGACGAGCCCACTCGTATATCTATCACGAAGGTGGCACTCAAGAAGGAAACTCTCAGCCTCCATCACATTCGCGAGCATGTCGCGGCCACGGAAACATTTCTGTGGAGGCTGGAGAAGACAGTGCCGCGCAACCTTGCGCGTGAGAATCATAGCCATCGAGGCCGAGAAAATCTTGGCATCCGTATTTGTCATGCTTAGTGGACGAGTATTAGCTGGTTCACGATAAACTCCCTCCCCCACCTCCGCCTCCGTAATCTTTTTGGGTAAGAAAACCATGAGACTCCGTTTCATATCATCGGGGAGACCAGCCCGAGGGTTACGGATGAAAGCCTGGTAGCATTCGTAGAGAAGTTCACCAGCAGCGCGGGCCCTCCAGGCCGAGTAAGGGATCCCATCCTCCCCTGGCATGCTGTCTTTCCTCCCCCGTATCATCATTGCCACTCAAACTCACTCATCATCCACCCTTGCCCAATAAGGTCCTCTTCCTCTATCTCCTCAGGGACCTCTGGCAACTTCGGCACAAAGCTAAGCAGCTCGGGCCAGTGGGACTCGTCGTCCTCAGTAGCAGCAAAGATAGTACTCCAGTGATCCTGTAGGGCCTGGGCAGCCTCTTCTTCTGTCTTACTAATGTCCCCTGAAGCCGACAAGGTCCCTTGGAGCCACGTACGCCTATTCATCTTCCGCCAGAGTTCCTTCCGAGCCGCCAACTTCCGCCGAGCATTCTCATCCCCCTCAGAGGGCACGGGACCGACGTCCTCAACCACTGCCTGATTGAGAAATTCCTCCTCAGCAGACAGAAGAGCATTATGGAGACTCTGAACGTGTTGGCAGAGGGCCTCGCATCTGGCATCCTGAAGGCCGGCAGGAAAGTGAGCAGCGAGCGCCGGGTACGCGGCCACCGCCGCTGCAAGCTTGAAAGAGTCTCCCGCACGCCATGCACGAAGGGCTTGCAGGGCACGAAAGTGTTTAGCTTCGGTAGTGTCGGCACGTTTCAAGTTGACCAGACGTTTAACTTCTTCAGCAACTTCAAACACCAAAGATTTCGTTTCTGCAAGACGAGCCCACGGGTCACCACAGGGAAGGGCGTCAATAGCGCCGTTCAAAAGCTCCGCGAATAAAGGGTGCCGAACAACCCAAGGAGCCAGACGTTTGGGAGCATCCTGAGGTCTGAAGGTGCTGATCGTGACGACTATCGGGATGTGGTCCGAGACCATATCTACCTTCAGGGTCCCCCGCGCCTCGCAAACAATCGTGAGGTCCGTGATCAAAGCCGAGGGTAGCGTACTGCACATACGGTCTAGCCGAGAAGAGTGGGTCGTGACGCCGTCCCTGACCTCCCTCCTCGTGTCCTCACACTGGTAAAACTCAATCCAAGAGCTACAGAGCCGATGAAAAAGAGAAGTATGATTATCATCTCCAGGATACCACCCACTACCATCCGCCCGAAGTCTCCCATCAGAAGAGAGCGCAAAGTTTCAGTCACCTACCAAGATAGTGAAACAATCAGCGGGGCTGGGAAGTACACGAAGGATGGATCGAATAGCATTAGCATATACACACGTGAGTTCATTGGTGTTCGGCATGTGCGCATTGATGATACATAAGTTCCCGAGAGGCCCAGAGAGATAAGACTTGAGGATACGACCATCGATGACGCTGGAGTGAGAAATAGTAGAGAAGAGCCTCGCAAACGCAGGCTGGATGCACGTGATAACACCACCAGTAGCAGCAGAGTCAGGGAACAGAGAGTGACCAATCTCAAAGTGCCGAAGTTCTCGCCGAAGCTCGTTTATATCCGCAATCTGTCCGTGGGTTTCCTGGGTACAAAAGACCGAGAGTTGGTTCGCGAGCTTCAGGAACTTCGCAAAGCGCGGGGCAGCCTTCATACTTTTGGTGCGAACAGCGGCAAAGAGGGCAGCAGTATTCCAAGATCCGATCTTCATCTCTGAGGGGGGGAAGAAGGGGCGGGTCCTGACCAAAGAGACAGG